GTCTGCGTTTCCGCGAGCGTAATTACAGGTGTTGAGGGCGGTTCGCACGGAAGCATCGGTAGCTTCCACGATCGACTACACCTGATTACGCGGGAAAGAAAGGATCGCGCGAGGCGCCGAGATTAACGAACGAGCCTGCCGAGAAACCGGGGGAAAGGCGACGCACGGCGGGTCGAAGCGATCGAGTTGTATCAAAATCAAAGATCTTTTGATAAAAATCGGATAAAGCGATGATCTTTTCGTTGCGTTAAAGCTCTGACACGTTGCAGAATAACGGTGTTTAACCTTGTAAACTTGTATAACTTTATTATATCGTTAATTATATTATATTTGTCGGTATACGATCAATTTAATTATCAATATTAGCTTGTAACACTTTATGGTATTATTATATTGGTATTATTACGGAACAAAGACATTGAGACGTTAAAAAGACGAGCGAGATAAATGACAAATATAGTGTAAATTCACCTCGCTCTAAATTATCTTCGCGACAAATTTGTTCGGTAAACGCTATATATGTTATTAATCGATGCACATGTTAGTGAACAATGCGCACGTTGATAAACACTGCACATGTTGGTAAACACTGCGCATGTTTGTAAACGCTGCACCCCTTAGTAAGCAATGCACATGCCAGCGAACAATAACGCTTCTTGTTTGTCGCAACTAGCGAAACGTGACTTTTACTACCGAATCGTTGATTGTACTCGATGTTACTTCGAAGTCCAGAACTATTTGGCATGAATTATGTCATTTCCGAAGAACTCGCGAGCAAAAAGAAGCGGGGTCCATGCGTGTACACCGGCAAGGTCTCGGTAATTTACAATGTGGAAAGAGTGATTCGGAAATTGTTTCAAATTGCGGCAACTTTTAATGGCGCCTCGGAGTTAACAAAGGTTTAATCTTCAGTTTCTAAGAGGCCATTAAATCATAGCTGGTAAAATGTTAACGAACCTGAGGAACCTCTCTGCGAGGTGCGAAAATATAGGTACGGATTAGGAAAGAAAGATGTAATCGAGTCGGACGGGGTCCGGATGACTTCCGGTTCCTCGGACGACCGCGTGTCTGCGGCTAGACGACGCTTTTGAGAATGAAAAGGGAGAGAATGGAGTGGAGAGGAGAAGGAGAGGGGAGAGAGAGAGAGAGAGAGAGAGAGAGAGAGAGAGAGTGAGAGTGAGTAGGGTCGAAGCAAAGGACGAGACGAAGACAGAGGAGGCCTATACTAGCCGCTGAATAACGCATGACTGTCTGGCTTGAAATTATAGCATTTCACCCCCTCTCACTCGCAGGAACCACCCCCCTGGCTCTCTGGCCGCGCGCTTTCATTCAATTATGCATCCAGCCTCAGCCTCGGAGCTGCTCCGCCGCCCTCTTCCTGCTCCCTCTCCGCCCACGCTCTTATTATTATTTTCCCGCGCGCGCGTGTCTTCGGCTTCAGGTTCAGCCTCGTCTTTCCTCGCGAGAGAGTCCTCCGAGTCGCGCGCTGGGCTCGATCGACGAGATTCCGTCAAAATCAAAGAACTTCTCGCAGAAATCGGATCTACCGCTGATTTTTTTTTACTTTTGCCCGGTTCTATTTGACCCGATATAGAGAAAAATGTTTCCACGTGCAACTAGTTCTTTGTTCTTATCAAGATTCCTTTTTTCGGAAGTTTCGTGGCCATCGATGTCGATTCGTATAATACGAGTGCATTTTTCGTACGTAAACAATGTCGACGTAACCCTAGTATTAACCTTGATTAGCGTATTACATTTTTCACGTATCGGGGCGGGTTCCGTTTTGGTAATAATTGCGAATGAGAAGTAAATAATGAAACAAATAAAAAAGAAGAAAAGATTAGTCGGTACGATATGATTTTAAACGATCGAAATATTTGCAACAATAATTTCCATGAGACGACGGTGTCCCCTAAATTGTTAAGCGTCCGTCTAGATGCAACGGGAACAAGGCCTGAAAACACGCTGAAAGACGCGACAAGATATAAAAATTAACCGTCGCGGTGCAGCTTCTGGCAAGCAATAATCGTAAGATGCGGTAACAGGATGTTCTCCGTTTCAAATAAATCTCGCAGTATTTTTCTACCCCTCGCTGACCCCGACTGCATTAAGCCGGCGAGACCAGACCGGCTGTTTCTTACGTATCACGAGTCATTACATTAGGATTCGCGGCTCGTTATCTATCGCGCGCGATGTAAATCGGAAAATTGATGTCGCACGACCTGCATTCTAGACGGAAAACAAAGTAGCAGCATTGGTTTTTGTTGCCGCGCGTCGGCGATACCAAAGTCCACGTATCTGATCGTTGCTGATCGCTGGATCGCGGATTTCACGCGTTCGGGGCAAAATTCGGTTTTTATAATCTCGAATAGAGGGTTAACGAGAAACTCGAACGAAGGCCGCATCGAAGTTAGAACAAACGCTTGGTTGGAACACTCCGAAATCACCGCTCGCGAGCGTACAAACTTCCGGCGCGGAGAAAGATGCTGGTCTCTCTCTCTCTCTCTCTCTCTCTCTCTCTCTCTCTCTCTCTCTCTCGAGGTCCGGGTAACGGAAGACCCGCTATGAACCGTCGTTCCCGACGTCCGCGAAAAAATATTGTAGGAAGCTTATCGGTCCCAGTGCGTTGTCTATTGTCCGTTGAGCTTTTACGACGTGACGAGTCGCGTTACGACGTAAAAATTTCAAGCGGCCCGTATCGACGCTATAAATATTCATGCCGCGACGAACACCGATACATACATACATACATACATAAATATATATATATAAAATATTTGTATACACACGCGTTTCAATGTACAGCGTATATGTACACGAGCCGGGCAGGTACACGCATGCATATAGGTAGAGCGCATGTAGGTAGAATAATACAAATATGGCGGTGGCCGACACAGTTGCGACGGTGCAAACGGTTTACGGTCGAGCGGGCCGAGCGTTCGCAATATCGGTCATTATTAGAGACAATTGCGACGCTGCTTTATTCGGAATCAGTGACCGGTCGCTCTCTCTCTCTCTCTCTCTCTCTCTCTCTCTCNAAAATTGATGTCGCACGACCTGCATTCTAGACGGAAAACAAAGTAGCAGCATTGGTTTTTGTTGCCGCGCGTCGGCGATACCAAAGTCCACGTATCTGATCGTTGCTGATCGCTGGATCGCGGATTTCACGCGTTCGGGGCAAAATTCGGTTTTTATAATCTCGAATAGAGGGTTAACGAGAAACTCGAACGAAGGCCGCATCGAAGTTAGAACAAACGCTTGGTTGGAACACTCCGAAATCACCGCTCGCGAGCGTACAAACTTCCGGCGCGGAGAAAGATGCTGGTCTCTCTCTCTCTCTCTCTCTCTCTCTCTCTCTCTCTCTCGAGGTCCGGGTAACGGAAGACCCGCTATGAACCGTCGTTCCCGACGTCCGCGAAAAAATATTGTAGGAAGCTTATCGGTCCCAGTGCGTTGTCTATTGTCCGTTGAGCTTTTACGACGTGACGAGTCGCGTTACGACGTAAAAATTTCAAGCGGCCCGTATCGACGCTATAAATATTCATGCCGCGACGAACACCGATACATACATACATACATACATAAATATATATATATAAAATATTTGTATACACACGCGTTTCAATGTACAGCGTATATGTACACGAGCCGGGCAGGTACACGCATGCATATAGGTAGAGCGCATGTAGGTAGAATAATACAAATATGGCGGTGGCCGACACAGTTGCGACGGTGCAAACGGTTTACGGTCGAGCGGGCCGAGCGTTCGCAATATCGGTCATTATTAGAGACAATTGCGACGCTGCTTTATTCGGAATCAGTGACCGGTCGCTCTCTCTCTCTCTCTCTCTCTCTCTCTCTCTCGCTTCCTCTTTTCCGCGTCGCGGCGGTGTAATTACATACCGAGCGGGCCTCGCGATGGTTTCGATTTCTTCGGGAAAGCTGTCGGAAAGGACCGCCTAGAGACACCGGAAAGGATGATGCGATTCATCGAATGATTTTCAGAATGCGTCGCGAACTTACCGGAAGTCGTGCGGCTGCCGCTGGCAAACGGATCTCGCGTTACTCACAACTGTTTATATGTACGTCGGAGAACGTAGTTCCCGATCGCATTCGATTCCTGTTATCGACGAGCTTCGTTCAACGAAGCTCCTCGCCTTTCATTAAAAAAAACTAGATCTGCAGCATTAGCGTAAACGTGCCGAATATGTAGAGTGTCGTCTCTATGCAAAATACAAATTGTCTAAGATAAGTTGCAAGGAATATAATTTACATGAAAATCACTTTTTTTCTTTTAACAATGTTTCAACGATCGTACATAAGTTGGAAATAATGTAACATTATCCTTGAACTCTTCGAATGTCGTTCCAGTTTTGTATTTTCTCGTAAACGCATAAAATTTACGGTCTATTAATCCGAGACCCATTTCTTTGGGATGTACATCCAAAATGTCTGCAATATTTCAAGCTTAATTTTATAGTATAGATTTTTATAGTTTAATCGCTTGTATCATTATTAAGCTGCGAAACATCTCATTCTTCGAGAAACGTGTTCTTAACACTTTGAAAAATCCCAGTCCACAAAGGGTTGATATGTATGTATAATGTAAAATGACATTTGGAACGTATTCATCTGTCATACTCGAATCTCTAATTTCGCGTCTTAAAGAAATACCGATTGTTACTTCGCATCAATTAGCATGTTACTAACGACAATTTATAATTAAATTTCGAAAGTGCGATCGAAACACCGTCGGTCGAGGTCGGTTTTAACGTTTTACCCGCTTCCCATATTTTATTAAGAACTTGGATATCCCTGGATACATAACAAAGCCGCTGTAACCGAATAATCCCGAATAATAAGTAGGTAAGAAGTTCGTACGATAATCGTTGTTGCGAATACAATGGTTTACGCGTATTCGTGTTCTAAAGTCGCTTTTAGAACTTGCTGGTTCTAAACGACTGTGGATGTAGTTTTAATTATGGCATTTTTGGTTGCAGGAGAGCGACAACCTCTGGTGGGACGCATTCGCGACCGAGTTCTTCGAGGACGACGCGACCCTAACCCTCACATTCTGCCTGGAGGACGGTCCCAAGAGATACAGTAAGCACATCCCAGAATCCTTTTTTCGGTAGAGAACGAGGGGGGGAGAGAGAGAGAGAGAGAGAGAGAGAGAGAGAGACAGACAGAAAGAGGGGCGGGAGAGAGAGAGAGAAAGAGAGCCGGCAGGATTCGGTGCGGATATTTACGAGCGCGAGAACGGGACGGGCATTCGAAATAATTACGTGCCACCGCGGAGCAATTTTGCAGCCGGCGGATTTTAATGCGTTCTCCTCTCCGCTCGCGACGCTGAATGCACGGTAACAACGTGATTACATGTCACATCGCGTCGTCGTCGCTGTCGTCGTCTCGCTCGAACGACAGCTCTCCGCGATGCGCATTACCGATGCAATAAGATGCACCGCGCCGCGGCGCGACGCGAGCGAGCTGGCTAGATAGCTAGCTAGCTAGCCTGGCGAGAGCTGAAACTCGCGCCGTCCTTGAATATAGAATTTTCCGATCCTGGAAACCGTCGTTATCATTATATCCGCGCGCGCACACCGCGCTCCTTCTTTTTTCTCCACTCCTCTCGTTTATCCATCTACCGTGTCATTATCGACGTTTTCTCTCTCGTCCGGTTCCGGTGTGCACCGACACCGCGGAACGCGGAGCCGCGCTGCACCGGCGCGGCCCGCTGCATCGGTTTTAACGAATCCCTCGATTGTCCGGTAATAGTCCGCGGGAAGCATTCCTCTCGGCTTTCGCCGGGAAACTCGGTTTTCTTTCGCCGAAAATTCCGCGAAAATTGTCGACTCCGCGTGGATAGATTTTCGAATGTTTCGAAGATGCGGAGGATGCCGAAATGTTTCAGGATATAAAACCGGACGCGTTTTTTCCGCGAACTTGCAAGAATTTTCACTTTTTCCCATGCGTTTTCTTTTCGTTTCTCCACTGTCTTCTCGATTCCGAGCTCTAATGTGTTCCGTTTCTGTTTTGCAGCGATAGGCAGGACATTAATACCTAGGTACTTCCGTTCAATATTCGAAGGCGGAGTGACGGAACTTTACTACAATTTGAAGCATCCGAAGGAGTCATTTCACAATACCAGCATAACCCTTGACTGTGATCATTGCGTTATGGTCACGCATCACGGGAAACCGATGTTCACGAAGGTAAGGGCCGAGCGAACGCTCGCGGCCTCGCGTTATTGAAACTCTGATAAACCGTCGAGTGGGCCCTCCTCTCGCCGACTGCTGCAAGAACACTCGAACCCGTCGCTCCTTCGAATCACCGATCATTACGATCCGCTCGAATTTAATAACCGCAGGGCCGCGGAGTTATCCGCGGGGTCGTTCCTCCATCCGCGGTTCGCGCGAACTCTCTCGCGCGGTTCGCGAAAAACGCTGCGTAATCTTGCGTAATTTACGCAACCGAACGAACCGTCGATTCGGTTCGTCGGCTTTCGTCTCGTATTTTCATCGGTAACGGTTCGCCGGAAATTTTTCAATTTTCATTCAATTTTCGGTGGCGCGTTCTCAGACTGCCTATCGAAAGTCGATTAATATATTCGAAGCTCTCGCTAAAGGAGCACGCGGATAAGAAAAGTTTCTCTTATAGCGTCGTGCTGTTAAAGGAGGGAACTTTAAATATCGCTCGCGTCGAGCAAAAAGACTCGCTCGCTCGCTCGCCACGTTCTCGGCTGAGAACGGCTCAAGGGGGTTGCTTAAAATCGCATAATAACTTGCTTCTGAAAATAATCGTCGCGATCGAACACTCCTGGAAAACATCTTTGCCACGACAGAAATGTCAGCCAGAAACTTATCCATGGTAAAAATAATTCGAACCCTCCGCTGTCGTGCGGGATCGGTTACTTTAATTGCTCCGATGATAATTTTGGAAAAGAATGTGTAACATTTCGACCCAGTGCGACGGCGGAGGGTTCCAAAATAATACACCGTAAACCCCGTAATTGTAATCGTTACGCGACACGGAATAAAATATTTTCCGAGTTCGACTGCCGGAGAACCGTTTGCGAGAGGGTGGTTCCTCACAATGGGAGGACCGAGGCAGAAGCCAACGTTCCGTCTAGGGCCGCGAACGTGTTAATTACTAGCTCAACGTGTATCCGGTGTAGTTTACCAGCCAGATTGAATGTTCTTCCTCCCGCAGGTATGCACGGAGGGTAGATTAATATTGGAATTCACCTTCGACGACCTTATGAGGATAAAGTCGTGGCACATGTCGGTGAGGACGCACAAGGAGCTGGTGCCTAGGACGGTAGTCGGGATCCAACAAGACCCGTCGATGCTCGAGCAGCTCAGCAAGAACATCACCAGGCAGGGCATCACTAATTCCACCCTGAATTACCTTAGGGTGAGTAACGGAGGCGCCTGGCTGCCTGGCCGGCGCTCTTGTCGAATCGAGGACGCAGCCACCCCCGTTGCACTTTTATCTTCTTTGTTTTCACTTCTTTATTTTCTTATTGTCGATATTTTAACGGGACGAACCCTTCGCGTTACGGAATTAGGGTGGAAAGCGACGAATAGACCGCGGATTTTACGAATTCGTGACAGAAACGCTCTCAACGCTGAAACGCTGCAACATGACGTCACCGGCGTACGGATCACGTGACAAGGTAAAAGAGGGGGAAGGACTCGCTCGGCGACTACCGGTGCTTCTTCGACTTGTCTCGTCACGTGATGCGGACGCCGATCCGGTCGGCGGCATAACAACGCCGATAGGCGGACATATTTTACGCGGGCCGCGAATCCGTGCACGATAAATCCGGAACTCGCGGGAAAGTTTAATCAAGCCCCCGGACGAGCCATAAGTTTCTGTTTAATTCCGGGCCTCTGTAAATTACGAAACGGTTTGCCCGCCGCCAGACGACCGCACAACGTATTCCGATGCCGTTTTAACGCATTTTCGGTGATTCGTTGCGACCCGGTCATATTCGTTCGCGCCGGTTCATTGAAATTTGACGAAAAACCATCGGACAGCTTCCGCGTTCGCGTCGCGCGCCCTTCGCTCGCTTCGCCGCGGATTAAAAATCTTCTCGATTGCAACGTGACGCAAATGGAAATCGAAGCCTCGAGAGACGCTCGTTTTTCTTTCATTTATTCGCTGCTCTAATTCTGCACTTTCCGCACGTTCCTTCGGGTTTTTTTCTCCCGTTCGCCGCAAGAACGACGGGAACTTTTTAGCCGATTCTGTTCCATCGTCGATAGAACAAACGAACTTTTATTGAATTCCTGTTACCTGTAAATTTTTATCTCGCGCAAAGACCGCGGTCTGGACGTAACGTTTCTACGGACTTTTGACTCTCGAAGGAAGTCGAACAAAAAATCGATGTTCGAATCGCGCGGAGATCGGCTCGCGAAAGTACGGCCGCGCGCATCCGGGTTACGATCCACCTTCTTTGCACGTTCGGAAGCGCTTTCACTGGCGCGTGTCGCTGCTCTCTGCTCGCTGCTCGCTGAAACGATTGTTGTGTCGTCGTCGATCGAAAGCCGCCGCGAGAACGGTCCGACGAGTGTCGAAACGTTTCCGGTCTTCGGAGACATTTTTCCCGAAATTTCCCGCGTATCCGTGTTCGCACGGCCGGCGAACAATCGCGCGAGCCGGGCGACGAATCGATCAGGAATCGCGAGCCGATATTAACGCGGCATTAATTAAAACCGAGCGAAATTTCGTAAAATTTCGTGCCGCCGTCGCTCCCGCCTCTATCATCCAATCACGCGCCATCGATTACTTTAATTGTCATCGTAATAACGCAAAGGCCTGCGCCGGAATATAACGCTCTTACTATAATAATAATAATAATAATAATAACAACAACAATAACAATAATACAGTTATTGTTATTATTGTCGTTATTATTACTATTATTATAGTTATCGTTGTTGTTATTATTATTAACGCCGATAGTAATAATAATGTAAAATGGATTCCCAGTTTTATTATAAGCCAAACGTAAACCGAATTTAATTTGCCAGCATGAGAGCGCCGCGGCGTTGTCGCGCCCGAATATATTTCAGCAAGTTTATTTTCAACCGGTACACACACGGCCGTATACGATAATTTTCATATTAATAGCATGGGTAAGTTCCGCGCCGATGTCGCGTCGCATTAAATAACCTTTCGTGCGCGACACTCTTTCGCCTTTGATTTCGATTTCCGATCGTGATCGATGGGCGAGACGCGGTCGTCGAGCTACGTGCACCGTTTTTCGCGATTCTACCGACTGCTCCAACGGACCGGGTCGAAGCTAACCCAAAGAGAGATCCACGGTTTTCGCGAGAATGTCGAAACTCGTACCATGCGTTGGAAAAATTGAAGTCGCTTCGAGATCCTGGATTGCGAATCGTTGCGCAACGACGACGAGCGTAATAAAAAACGAATACAAAGACGGCTGCGTCGAACGGATAATCCGAACGGATAATGAACATGCTCGTATAAATTTATTTATTTAACGGAGCATACAAATATATATATATATATTTTGAGATTCGTTCAGCGGGGGTGCAAGTCCACTCTAGTCGTTGAAACGCGAGAAGATATCGCGCGTGACCGCGACCTCTCTATGATTCCAGTTATGCGTGATCTTGGAGCCGATGCAGGAGCTGATGTCGAGGCACAAGGCGTACGCGTTGTCACCGCGGGACTGCTTGAAGACGACCTTGTTCCAGAAATGGCAGAGGATGGTTGCCCCGCCGGGTAAGAGAGGTAGACGAACAGTTGCTTTACATGAGAAGCACCAGCCAGTGGAGCCAAACGGCCGACCAGTCTACCGCAGGATTTGGTTTTTGATCGGGACTAACGACGGAGAATCGTCGTCGACTCGTTGTCGCGTCACTGATCTCGGTTCCAGTCGCTTTCCACGGCCGCAGCAACCTCCTCTCCCGCTATTCCTGATCCACCTCGAACCTCGAACGATCCTCGCTTCGTATAGGGTGCGACGACACGGATCCCTGGGATCGAAATTTTATCGAAAACACTCAATGCCTTTGATTCGATAACGTCGAATTTAAAAATGTAAGCAAAACGATTGCAAGGGCAATTAATTACCAGACATTAACCAGGGGGAGGCAAAATAATCGACAGACTGCGAACTTGCCTCGAAGTTTTTCGCTTCCGCAAGGTTGGACCACCCCCGTCGATCGTCGCACCCTGTTCCCGCGTCTCCTCGGGTGAATTAATATACCCCGACCTCGGCAGCAGCACGCGAAAACGTCGATGAAAGAGATTGTTTCGCTCGCGAAAAGCTTGCACGGTCGCGGGATCGTGCGATCCGAGCGCAAAGGCGACCGAGATGTTCGCCGACAGATAGCACGATTCCTCGATTTTTCAGGATCGGCGACGCGTTGCGTGCACCTTCACCGCTTCTTCTTCTCGCTGGGCTTTTATCTATCGTTTTTATCATGCGTATGCGTGCACCGCGTTTCCTGTTTCAACCGACGCCGACGCCGCCGCCGCCGCCGCCGCCGCCGCCATCGTCGTCTTCGCTCCTTCCTTCCCGACCGTTATCCTCCGTTCCCTCCGTCCGAATCGTGTTCAAGGTCAGCGAAATCATGGAACCGAGCGACCGCGCCGCCTTTTTAATCGGATCAGTCGTATGCGATGCGTGTTTCTCTGTAAAGATTCTACGTGAGTGCGCGGGCTCTCTTTTTCTTAAGTAGCTTTTGATGGCGAACGATGGCCGTTCATCCTAGAGACGTGTACATTATATTCTATTCTGTTTTCTGTCCACCGATGCATGCATGCTTGTGTGTGTCAGAGACCTTTGATTGTGAGAGAAAGGTCCAATATGCTGGGTAGCGGTCTGAAGTTTCTTAGCGCGCTGCTACATGGCTAGCGTCGTCAGCTAGTGACGCTGTGCGCAGCGCGACCGTCTCATCGCCGACATGTTCTTACAGAGTCCCAGAGGCCGGCCAGCAAAAGAAGAAAGCGGAAGGGCAGCACCTCGGGCCCCGGCAACAACGCGCCACCGGCGCCCAGCAAAAAGAGATCGCCAGGGCCTAATTTTTCTCTGGCGTCGCAGGTGAGCACCGACCCTCTCGATTCGGACGACCGTCTCTATCCGTCCATCTTTGGCATCCCGATACGGTAGAACTTTATTTACGCGAACTCGACACGCGACAGCGACACGCGACAGCAGTTCGTACGTTTCCTAAAAAATTAGCAAATACGATATAGGACGCGTTTTCTCCGTTCGATAAAATGTATGTACATTTCGATAGGCCAGATATATTCTTGTCGCGAATAGATAATATTTGGCGAATATGTATATAATTTGGGGTGAAGAATTGTGTCACCGGAAACATTCCTTTTTTATAGCGATTGACCCGCGTAGTATCGTCGTCGCTGCATCGTTACGCGTTGACGATAGCATACGATGTATCGTCTATATTATATAATTACATATAGAATATTATATAATATTAAATAGTTCCGCGCGTACGCTCTCGCCAACACAGCGGGGTAGCAAAAGCTACGCGGGTCGATCTCCGGAAAAATATCGATTTTTCCACGGCGACTTCGACGAGATAAAAAGAGATATACCGTTCGGAAGGCTGTGTGGACACCGACAACATTTTTCGATCGTAGGACGTGATGGTGGTGGGTGAGCCGTCGCTGATGGGCGGCGACTTCGGCGAGGAAGACGAGCGGTTGATCACGAGGTTGGAGAACACGCAGTACGACGCGACGAACAGCCTGGACCCGCACAGTCACGACACGTCGGGCGGACCACCCCCGCACCCTCACCAGTTCCATTCGGAGCCGACCCCGGGAAACTCATGGCCGCCAGACCGCGGTCCCGGACCGCCGCAAGGAGGACCCGGTAGTCAGGTAATTGACCCTTCGATTCTACTAAGCGTGTCCCGCTCGGTAAAGCAGAGTAGGTGGTCCCGGGGAGAGGTCAATAGTACAAGGGTGTAGTAGTATTGACCGTCTTTCGTAATCTCTCGTCGCCCTGTGCGTTCCTCTCTACCTCGTTGATTTTAAAAACGATCTGCTCTGCTTTTCCAGGCGATACCAGCAGTGTCCTGAAAGCTCTAGAATCTACAGGCTCGCTAGGCAGGTGTATACCCGTGCTGTCCCACGGGGGTGGGCCCGCGTTGCTAACAGACGAAAAATAGAGAACGTTAGCGACGTAAAATCAGCCGGAGCGCAGAGCCTCCGAGCGAGGCAGACACAGGCAGGCGGTAGTCACCTGGCTACAAAAAGCTTAGCGTACTTGGATACCGGAGGGAACACGCCCGATTTGCTCTCGCGAAGTTGGACAGCCCGGGTGTATACTCTAGAGACTGCTCGGAAAGAGAGAAAAGAGGGGACCGCTGATGACGATGATGATGACGATAATAACTAATAATAATAATGATAAATGACGACGATGATAATAATATAACGAATGATGATGATACGACGACGATGAGACGACGACGATGATAGAATAATGATGACGATGATGATGATGATGATGATGATATATGACGACGGTGATGATGATGATGATGATGATGATGATGGTGATGATGACGAGATGTAACGTAAGGGTGCTAAGGGAAACGTGTGTGTGACCCTGTTGCAGGGTGTTCAAGGTGGACAAGGAGGCGCGTCGGGCGGTGTACAGGGATCGCAGGATGCCAATCAGCAGCAACAAGACAAGAAGAGCCCCGCGGTGAGCCAGTGAGGCCAGGAGTCCCCGCGCCCCCCCACCAGGGGGCGACGGGGGCGCAGGCCCAAGAACGTGGCTCCCTAGCGGGGCGAGAACCTAAACCTCCCCGGCGCCTATTTGGCCTCGGCTGGCTCCGGAGCCGGCAGGCTGTCGCACCTCGGGGTTGCGCACCCTCTGGCCTGTCACCAGGCCGGCCTGCCGAGCCATCCGGCGGACCAGCAGCACCTGCAGCTAGGCCACGCCGCGGCTGCAGCAGCCGCTGCGGTCTCCATGGGGATGGAATCCTCGGAACTGGTCGCGGTGTCCCATTACCAAGCGCAACAGCTTCAACGACAATTGTTGGCCGAGCAGTCGGGTCCAGCGGGCGCGATGCTGCCGCCGCCGCCGGCTGCTCAGCCTACCGGTGGAGGCATCGCTCACCCGCCGCTCCACCAAGGACAACACGCCGCCGTTGCCGCCGCGGCCGCGGCCGCGCCTCAACCTCAGGGCCAAGACCCGCTGCAGAGCTTGCTGCAGCAGCTGATCTGTTTGCACCAGCTCGAGTACTACATAGCCCAGCGTGGTCAAAAGTGATAAACTAAAAAAAAAGGGAAAATGGCATCGACGCCGCGTCGACACGCGTCCGCTCTGCGTGCTCGAGAACCGAATTCGGACGGGACCGAACTCGAAAGAGAGAGAGAGAGAGAGAGAGAGAGAGAGAGAGTGAGTGAGAGACAGAGAGAGAGAGAGAGACAGAGAGATGCGACGATCATCCTCCGCTGCTTCCGGGGAGAGCTAGACGCGACGACGACCACGACACGGACTCACAGCTCTGGAATTTTAAAACGAAACAGATGTAGTGAGAATGAGAGCGAGAGAGCGAGAGAGATAGAGTGTATGGCGTGAAAGAGCGAGAGGGAAAGAAAGAGAGAGAGTGAGAGAGAGAGAGAGAGAGAGATAGACTGGTGCGTGAGCGCGCGCCCGCGCATTTGCTGTGCGTGTCCGAGGCGTTTCTCGACGATGGGGTTACACCTTTGCTCGGATTCGACGATCCTTTCTCGTGTGCTGTGACCGACCCGTTTACACCATGCTGTCGAGGCTGAAGATGGTAGCACGTTCCCGTTCGGGGCTCTACACGCCGCGTCTCTTCNAGAGAGAGAGAGAGAGAGAGTGAGTGAGAGAGAGAGAGAGAGAGAGAGACAGAGAGATGCGACGATCATCCTCCGCTGCTTCCGGGGAGAGCTAGACGCGACGACGACCACGACACGGACTCACAGCTCTGGAATTTTAAAACGAAACAGATGTAGTGAGAATGAGAGCGAGAGAGCGAGAGAGATAGAGTGTATGGCGTGAAAGAGCGAGAGGGAAAGAAAGAGAGAGAGTGAGAGAGAGAGAGAGAGAGAGATAGACTGGTGCGTGAGCGCGCGCCCGCGCATTTGCTGTGCGTGTCCGAGGCGTTTCTCGACGATGGGGTTACACCTTTGCTCGGATTCGACGATCCTTTCTCGTGTGCTGTGACCGACCCGTTTACACCATGCTGTCGAGGCTGAAGATGGTAGCACGTTCCCGTTCGGGGCTCTACACGCCGCGTCTCTTCTGTTCCGGTTTTTTTGTTGTTTTCGATCCTCGAACGGACGAAGGAGGAAAGATCGAGGGCGGGGGCGAAGAGGACAAGGAGAACCGAGCCGCGGTGTTCCGCGCGGCTCCTCGACCCGGGACCGGGACCGGGACCGACCTCGACCAGGAAAACGTGGGGCCGGAAAATGCCACGGGGCCTCCGGGGACACCGTGCACCATCCGATATGGACCGTGCGACGTTTCGGCTCGTGTGATAAACAAAAATAAGAATGATGAAACATAATTATCGTCGATTGTGTGCAGTTCAGCGTACGAACACAATTAACGAATACAAACGAACGGTGGGGGTGTATCGATGACTGGCAGTGAAAAACGCGCATCTCGGGGGATGGGATCGGGAGGGGGGTGATCGCGGGGTTTGGGGAAACGCACGTCGAAGTTTAAAGAGAGAGAAAGAGAGAACGAGAGAAAAGTATGAGAGAGAGAGAGAGAGAGAGAGAGTGCGAAAGAGAGAGAGAGAGAGAGAGAGAGAGAGAGAGAGAGAGAGAGAGCGGGAAAACGAAAAAATGGTAAAAACGCGCTGCGGCAGAGACGATCATTCGCTCTGGTGCGAGCTGTGAATGAATCTCTATCCGTCAACAGTATTGATATAATTAATAGAATAAATGAATATAAAAAAAACGTTATTGTAAGAGGTATATGGTAAGTACGACGTATTGTGCAAACGTATGCGAAAGAGATTAGGGAGAGGGAGAGAGAGAGAGAGAGAGAGAGAGAGCGAAAGAATAAGCATCGGTGCGAGGTGTCGAACTAGGGGAGGGGGTTGTCGGGGATGAATGAAAGATGAGAGAGCGAGAGAGAGAGAGAGAGAGAGAGAGAAAGATAGAAAGAAAGAGAAACGCGTGGGTGTGCGCGCGGAAAACCAGGACCGTCTCAAATGGAATCGAAGATGTCGAAGCGCGGAGCCCGATCGAACGCCGATGCCCAGGCCCCGATCGCCCCGAATCGAAAGACGGCGCGTCCGAGTTTTTGTAACCGAGAAGCGCAATCGTTTTATTGTCATCGATGGTCGACGGTGTCGCGAACACCAGGCGGAACGTCCGCGCGAGGTCCGCGCGACGTCCGCGAATTCCGTCGGTCGGAATCACGGTCGAGCATCCTCGAACCTCGACAGCACAGCGCGTACCCACGTCCGGATTCGTTGTGTGACCTAATCTCTTGGTTTCTCCTTTTCTCGTGGTCGCAGCACGGCGACCTCGCGTCGTCGTCGCCGTCGCGGTTCCCCGGACCTCCGATACTTAAATTCGCGACATCTCTGACACGTAGACACATTCGCGAACAGAGAAACACACGGCAGAGACACGTATATTCGGAGGAAACGATCGACGCGGCACCGATTACGTACACACCGTGAAAATCGTTCTAGTATGAAGTTCCTTGCGCGTTACGTTTGTACATGATATATATATATACACACACACATATATATATATCTCTCTATATATATGTTCCTCATTGTATGCTTATACGTTTGTTCCTATTTTTTGTATTAATCCTCGTGATTCGTTGTGTTCTCTTCCTTCTCAAGCTGTTCGAGCTCTCGGGCCAAGCAGAACGGGGCATTATACGCGCGCGCGATACCCGACGATTCGAAAGCGTGCTCTATCCGCCGCGTTCAGCCTTGTTCAGCCGTCTTCCCACCTGTGCGAATCGCGCTCCATCGGTCCAAATTCGCGAAATCGATGAAGCGGTCGGGTGGGAACGCGGCCCAAGACCCCCTCGAGTCGTCGCCGCGGAACGCGGTCTTCGAATCTAGCCGTCGCGCGTTTTTCTCTTTCCTTCTTCCGTCTCGTTGCGCATCCCCCGTCCACCGGAATTGTCGCGAGGACGAGGAAATCAACGTCCCACCACCCCCTGTCGCCGCCACCAATTCGGGTTCCGAAAGTCGCGAAGCCTCTCGCGGATTCGAAGTCGTCGCTCGTAGCTACGGTTAAACTCTAATTGTAAGAAAGGAACATCGCCCTAGTTGTATCGTGACACGTATCGCATCACACGTAACACGTATATACTATATATACATATGCATATAGAGCTATAAATATATTTATTAGTTTGTCTCACGATCGAGCGGGTGTCACCAGGAAGACACGACGTTGGTACGAGCTCTGCTTGCCGATCGCGAAACGAGAACCCTGATCCAACCCGGACCAACGCGCTACGCGTGTTCCTCGAGATCGGGATCGGGATCGGGATCGAAGCTCGAACGATTTCCCAGCAGTCGATCGTGGTTCGTTCCTAGGAAAAATTGTTCGCCGAACGAGTCACGATTATCGTAGATCGATGCTCCAACGTCCGAGGAAGTCGAACGATCGCTCGATAGATCGGAGAACCGAGAGCCGCGGATCCAAGACCTCGATCGATCGATCGTCCAGCTACCGTCGTCGAACGCGATTCCTTCCGACGAGAATCGTCCGTCGAACGAGACACGATCGGCAGACACCGATCGAGCTACTATTCTTCCGGGATATTTTATCGCGGATTCGAGGACTGGTTCGAGCTTCGATCCGCGGGAATTTTGAACGGTGAAAAGCGTGAAAGCGGATCGAATGTAACGGTTCGTCCGCGTTCCGCCTGTATCGGTTCGCGTGGTCGTCGAGCGTATGCGCAGAGAGCGGTTAGCGTAGGCGGACCGTTTCGGAGCGAGAAGTACGACTGTTTGCGAAGGATCGATAGGTCGGCGGCAAATGAGAGAGAGAGAGAGAGAGCGAGAGAGAATGAGAGGAAGAGCGCGAGGGGTGGGCACGAACGTCGGCGTTTCATCACGTCCATGAACTCTGCGCTTTCGGGTGGTTCCACCTAGGACGCGCGTCTCTGGCGAACGATCGAAGTTTCTTCGAACATGTACAAAGTCATCGTATACACACCGGTCACGCACCACACGCGTCATCGCGTACACGGAAACACACACACGGAGATACGAACGCGCATAGATAGAGACAGATTTTTCGACTATAGACAATGGGAAGACGGAGAGGAGACGAAGGGTTCGTTGTTTCCATTCCACGGCCGGATGTCGAGGATCGATCGCGGTGGTCGCGTTTTGGGCATCGCTTCCGGCGAGCATCTTGCGTACCACGCGAATATCGTGTTCTCCGAAACGGAAGCGGAGAAACCAGGAAATGCAAACACAGGGATACACGCGCGCTCGCGCGAACACACAATGGACACACGTAACGGTTGCAACTACGAATCATTGAATTAGATAGATAAGCTACGCGCGAAGCCAGTACAGTCCCACGGCGTGAGAGTGTGCGAAGGGAAACGGTGGAAAGCGAGGGAAAGAGAGCGAGAGAGAGAGAGAGAGAGCGTGCGCGAGAGAGATAGGAGTATTTCTAATATAATTAAAAAAAAAAAGAAACAAAAGCTGTATGCCTGACGAAAAAAAAACGCAAGAAATTCGATGTGTCGGGAGCATGTATATGCGAGCAAATGCGAGTAAGAATGATTAAACGAGAGCGAGCGAGGCGAGCTAGAGCTAGAGCGAGAGAGCGGGAGAGAGTGAGAGAGAGAGAGAGAGCAGGATTAAATGATTATTTCGACACGAGCATGCAGTGGGTTTTAGGATAAATGATCTATTGACAAATGTTGTATATTATTACGAATTATAATGACACTATTATAATTAATTAATTAATTAATTAATTATTATACCCTAATAATGCGAATTGAATTTAACCGACGCGAGAGACAGGAGCGAGAGAGAAAGAGAGCCAGAGGAGAAGATTACCGCGGGAAACGATCGAGCAAATAGGCGGAAGAAATTAAAAAATTGTTGGCCCGCGAAAGTACACGATGCAGTCGCGAACGGTCTCCGATCGTAGGATCGTCGAGAACGCGATCGGGGAACGGGGCAAGGACCGAGGTCGCCTTCCTTTTCGTCGATCGTTCGAGTCTCCGATCCGCGGATGAATCGCCACCGGAATGAAATTATTGTAAATAAATTAGACCAAAGTATCGTCGGAGGAACAGGG